AAGGCTCTGCAGGTGAGATCTGCCCAGCAGGGAAATCCAAGTTTAGCAGATCACTACAATTCTCCATGAAACTACCTTTAAATGACGGAGCCAGGAAGGGGAAGAAACTATTGAAATCCACAAAAGAGGCACAAATCTCACTTTGGGTGTGTTTCATCTGTCCACCCCTGAGAGCCTCTCATTGTTAGAAGTATTCAAAAGAGAATTCGAATTTTAGTCTAACTAAATGAGGACAATGAAGGAAGAAACGGTTTTGTCCCCTCTTGATCTTCTTCCTCTCAATCCTGGGGCCAGGACCCTTAGGGGTGGTGGGTGGGTAGGAGGGGAGAGGAGACAGCCCCAAAATGAAGCTCATGGCTCATGCCTTTCTATTCCTGTCCATCATGGGCACAGCGTTCTGGCTCCACTTACAGGGACAGGTGGAGGAAGACACACAGCAATAGATCACTGGGTTTAGAGCAGAAAGGGGTCTCAAGAGATGACATGGAGAGGCAGTGGGACACAGGGAAGCAGGCTGTCCAGGATCAAACCCCAGCCCCACTCTTTACTAGCTGGGTGATGTCAGGCAAGTATTTAACCTCCCTGTTCCTCAATTTCTTCACCCATTCCAAATGGAAATGATGATAATACCCTTCTCCCAGGATCACTATGAGAATTCTGAAATATGCAAATATTAGTAGGTATTACTATTGTCAGAGTAGGCAGTCCTGGGGCTTTAGGCTGCACTGATTCACATTCTCATTTCGGGAAGTGTGTGGCGCTTCTGTCTTTATAGGGAAGTGTTCCAAGAGAAGCCACAGCATTTAAGTTTCACAGACAGCTTTCCTGAATTGGAGTAAGAGTTGGATTGGTCCGTGACAACTGTTCCCCAAACCAAAATGGCAGCTCAGCAGCTTCATCCTGGGGATCTCCCTCCAAGTTCATTACATTCACTTTCCTCTCCCATCTTGGCTACTTCTAGTCTTTCATGACTCATTCCCCTCTTGTGTGTCCTCTCAGCATTTGGCTACCAGGAATCAGTAGAATAATTGAAACCCATCCCATTCTCTCTGACCCAAATACCTGGCCTCAGATTGCCTCAAACTTGAGTCACTCAAATCTCAACACGGGAAACAGGAGGTCTGGGTGGCTCCCCAGCTGGGCTCCCTCTAACACGGGAGTTACAGCAGATGGATTCCTCTCTGTGACCGATTATTTTCCATGGCCTTTGGCCATGTGACCTCGGACCATGATCTTGTCAGTTCTCATAAACTAACCAGGAGTGGAATGAATCACACTCAGAGAGGAAACCTCTTGGGGAAACTGCAAGGGGCTGTGAGAGGGAGGAGAGAGCCGGGGATCCCAAAGGCCATGGGAGCCTCACCACCCCTCATGCCTTCCCTGTGTCTAAGCAGCTTTGACCTTACACAAAGGGAACCGGGAGGAGGCAGTGGCCATGGGAGGCCGGGTGGACTGTAGGAAGGCTACTCTTCTGAATTCAAGATTTAGGGTCTCAACCCAAGAGCCCAATTGTCCCTACTCCCATCAACTCAGAGAAAATTACTGGCCTCAGCTGCTCACTTGGTTGTGGACACCCAAACCCCTATTCTTAGGCACCCCAATCCACCATAACAACATACATGAAATAGCCAACAACACACACACACGCGTGCACGGGTACCCATCCCTACTCCGAGGACTGGGTATCCTGCAGGAGGTGATGAAAATGTTGCGTAAGGCACTGCAGGCCCTTGACATGGTGTTGATGGTGAAGAGGTTTTGAGAATGCTGCTTGAAATGTTTGCATTACGCCAAACACATTGATTAAAACTGAAAATGAAATGCCAGTGAAATCTTCATACTCTCCAATATCCCAAATTTGGGTGTTGTGTGCACAAAACAGTGATCTTCTCTGCCTGTTTTTTTGCTTTAAATAATCTTTGAATTTCAAAGTTTTGTGTCTCTGTAGCTTTAGATCATAAGTTTCTTTGAGTTCTCTGACAAGTGAATATATTGTTAGAGAAATCATTTCTGAATAAAATATGCACATGTAAACAAATCCCTTTACTATGTATACATTCTAATTACATTCTGGGCATTCATTTGATTGGGTCCTGGGGAGAGAGAACAAGTCTGTGTGTCCGTGGACAGAGCACATTAATTTATGCATACACAGAAACTCAGAGCACAGCACGCTCTTTTAAGAGTCCGAACTTTATCTTTCAACAAGGTTTAGCTGCTTTCCTTTTGCAAATGCATTTAATTTTATCTGGAAACTTTCTGACATTAGAAATAGAACAACTGTAGTTTCTCATTATGTTTGCTGCCAGAATCCATGCTTGGTTGCTCAACTAAAGACCTTATATTGCTAATTACTACCACATGCCCATATCCCAAGCGAAAGAAAACTTATTGATTCTGACAGCCCATTCTCTCAACACTGAATTCCAAATGAAAACTCAAAATTTGGCCAAACATAACATTTCATCAATCTTGTTTTACTGACTGGAAAAACAACATCAAACAAAGCGTGCTAATGGCCCTTCATTACCGTGCCTTTCCCAAGCTTCTATTTTCTGATGAAAGATCTAAGTGACCAAAGGGCTTCTTTAAACTACTTAGTAATTAGCTTTTGAACCAGGAAACAATGCGTAAAGTGAACAGGCCCGGCGCTGATGACAGGACGGACTCTGTGCTGGGTCGGGAACAGTGGGGACCCAGAAAGAACATTAAAAGCAAAGTGCATTTTCATAAAGGGAAAAGAAAAAAGACAGAGAGAGGAGAGAACACCAGGCTAAAAGTGGTGATAAAAGATTACAGAGCCAGAACAGAATAGCAGGAAGTCTGTGATCTGAAGTCATCAGCACCTGAAAGTTTGAGTGGAACTGCCAGGGTGAAAGATGACCGGATTGGACTGCGGGCAGTGAGGGAGTGCCGGGCTGAGGGCCCCATCTGGGTCACCTGGCACCAAAAGCTGCCGGCCTCCAGCCCACCCACCAGCCCACCCACATTTGATTAGGAAACCTATTTCATTAAAGAAAAAAAAAAAAATACCTGGAATGAGAGTCAAGAAATATTTTCAACCTAGCCTTCAGGGCAATTGATTTTATTAACGTCTTCAGAGGCAGTGATTGGGAAATGCTGGCGGAGACAGTGGCAGACAGGGAGGCCATAAAGAGCCCCCCAGGCCCTCACAGTGCCTTCTGCTTTATGGAGACCTGTCCACACCTTCGAGGCAAAATGAATCGAGAGGCTGATTTCCTCTTGGCATGGGATGCAGGACCAAGGGGAATCTCTGGACTTATTTGGCCTTTTGGATCCAACCAATGGCCCAGAAATCAGAACAGCTTGGTTCCAACCTCATCCAGGGCTGTGAAGATAATAGTGAGGGGAGGACTCCATTAGCGGGAAGATGGGGGGCTGTGCTGCCTCTGTGAAGATGCCAACTGGCCTCCTCTCGCCCGCTGTCCTTCGTGCCTTTCAAAGGAAACTGGTGTCCTGTGGGTAGTTCAAGAAAATGAGCCCTTTTGTCCACCTCCTGATTTCCTGTGCAGAGGCCCGGACACCTGAGCTCAGGAAGCACTGGACTCACTGACCGAAGGGGAGGGTCCGCTCCGTCCGACACGGCTGACTGTCGAAACAAGGAAGGGGCAGCAGTGAAGGGAAAAACGACACTCTCAGTCTGATTTTATTTCCTCTTAAAAAAAAAAAAAAACAAAACAAAAAAAAACCAATGAATCTCTTTAAGAGTTCATTTGAAAATGAACGAGAAGGAAAACAAAACAACACAACACAGTTTCATGACAGGAACTTCCATGACTGGGAAGAGGCATGAGTGATGAAGGTTTTCTGTGTCTTGATCCGTATGGTCGGACGGTAGTTCCTGAGTGTGTACACAGGTTCCAGCTCCTCACTCCGTATGTTAAAGATGTGTACACATTTAACTCTGTGTAACTTATGCCTCAAACCAAAACAAACAAAGCTGACTGCCCCAGAAAAAGCTTTAAAAAATAAATAAAGGATGGCTGCTGACAGTCACCTCTCCCCCACAGCGTTCCTGTCTTGACACGGTAAAGTGCTCCCCCTTGCTTAGGAGAAAACTTTGGGGTCTCTATTGAACCTGCACATTGATACTGAGAGTGATGAAGTGATCTGAGCACAGACTGAAATAGTTCCCAAGAAGAAAGCATTCACGTTTGAGAAGCCAAACAGAAGATTCATCAGGAATAGCATGGAGTACCCTAAAATACCAGAAATATAATATTTCTTGCCCAGAAGGAATGTCAGCTGAGTAATGAGTCCCTTTGAGGATAAGATAAGTGCCTCCTGGACGAAGAGAAGAACTGGGCTCCCGGTGGCCACAGTGCCTTTGCACTCAGCCAGATGACCTGCATCTGCCACCCAAGGACTTCCCTGCCAGAGTCTTATCCTGCGTTCTTGCTACACACAAACCATCATAGGAGGGCATCATACTAGTTTGAGGGACCAGAATTTTATCACATAGCCAGATGATGTGAAGAATGAATGAGTTTTGTCTAGTTGTTAGGGGTCAGAGCAGAAAATATGGGCCCAGTTATAAATGGACTCCTTTCAGGACGAATCCATTACAGCTCTTGGAGTCTGTGAGTGAGGGTTGGTCCAAGTGTGGCAACGTCCTGGGGTCACCTCTGACATCACACCCCATGCAAAAGGTGGGCCTTCCCTCATAGAAGCACCCGCCGGAGTGGGGGAGGGGCGGGATTCGGATGGCACCTCTGCAAGGGATTCCTGAAAATCACTCAACCACGTCTCTTCTGATGCAACTGACTTACTTTCTGCCTCCATGTTTGTTAAAAGTCCCGCCGAATTTATTCCGATTCAGGATGAGAGCAGCAATTTCGGGCACGTAGCGGGCAAACATTGCCTACATGCATGAAACAAAGAAACAAGAGCCAAAAAAAAAAAAAAAAAAAAAAAAAAAAAATGGCATGCAGAGAGGATTCTACCGCAGCGGAGGCAGCAAAACCTCTTGTCATACTTACTTTCTTCCACTAACCGCACTATAGGAGCCCCCGTATTTCTTGCGGTTTCCTATTAACTCTATGATTTCAGGGACGTAGCTGGCAAACATGGCCTGAGAAGATAGGAGACAGAAGAGAGACTAAAAAAGACAGGCCAAAGAAAAGGTGGGGGGGGGGACCTGCTCAGAGCAGGGGTGACTAAGATCTGAAAACACAAAAGGATTAGGTCTGCGAAGGTATATATGGATACCTTGGGTCAAAAAAAAAAAAAAAAAAAAAAATGAGCAAGCTCCCGGAAACACATGAGACAAACAGACATTAGTTAACCTTGACAAGTAAACAACAAAAACATCGCAGTCAAGAAAAATAAAAAGGCCACAGGAACGAATAAGGTGATATCTAGTTCTTCCTGCTGGAGAAAAATAAGCAAAAGGTGCGCAGGCTACGGAAATTAAACACACACAGACACATGCACACGCACAGACACACACATACAGTTTTGCAAGAGAAGATTGTTCCTTCTCATTAAAATTCGGAGGAGAATCAATGCGTTTATGAGTGACAAAAGAAAATAAATGCCGAAAGGTTAAAAACTAAATTTTTCTATTAAAAAAAAAATACTAAAAAGCACAAAAGGGAAATTTAGGAAATCACCTGGGAGGAGAAGATAGCAAGGAGAAACACAAATCTGCCATGTTTTGTCCAACAAACATCTTGCCTGTGGCTGGCTGGATGGGTCTTGTTATACCTACCGGCACCTCGCAGATGCTGCAGAAATGCTTGCTTGAATGTACACACGCACATGCACATTTCTATACATTTTTTAAATGTATATGCCCTATGCATACAAAACAGACAGATGTGTATGCATCACTAAATATAAATGTGAGCGCAGTGTACATACATGAAAGCTGTGTATAGATTAGGATTTTAATCACTCACTTCATAAATGGCAAAAAATCTAAACTTAAGATGAGCTACTTTCAAAGATAAAATGCAGCAACTGCCGACGTGTGGCCAGAAATCCCCTCCATTGGCATTATAAGGGATGGTTTAGTGCAACATAAAGAGCTGCCTAGACTTTTAAAAAGCAAACAGTGAAACTTTCTTTCAAGAAAGGAGGAAAAATATCCCACGTGTCCACCACAGAATGGAGTGAGCTGTTGGCAAAACCACACTCTGCTCACATGGGGACATCCATCTGGACGAGACCAAGGTGCTGGACAGACTGAAGGAGACCTGGACAAGACCAAAGGACAGACCTACATCTGTCCTTTGGTTCCAGCCACAGTGTTTGTTGGAAGTTTGGGGAGGAACACAAAGGGGAAGGGGCAGCTCTTGAAACCGCAAACTGTCTGCAAAGTATCGACAGCTTCTACCAGGTGACAGCCACTGTCCTTGCAGCATACCAGATGCTGAATTACATCACTAAGGGGTAGACATTCTCCCTCATTAACAGCATCACTTTCTTAAGACAATTAGGTTTGCTCCTGGCTAAATGGCTGTCCCTGACAGGGGCAATGCGCCTGGATCTATGGGACAGGTAGAATACACCAAGAATTATGCAGAAAAATCACCCTCCTGTTGGGATTCACTTAGCCTGACTGTAACATTAAGGCTTGCTTCTAGTGCAGAACACAGTCTAAAACACGAAGCTTTAAGGAAACATATCGTGGAAAATATTAACCATCCAAATCAACCTCATAATAAAGATTTTTTTTTTTACCAGTCCCCCGAGGATGAAGAAGACCATGAAGAGGCGGCCAAGCGTGGTTTTTGCATAAACATCCCCATAGCCAACGGTGGACATTGTAACCATGAGTAAATAGACACATTCCCAGTAGGTGAGAGCCTGGTTGTTTTGGAAATTTTCCCATGGGTCCCCTGAATTCTCCACCTAAAGCAAATGGGACAGGGGAGAAAAAGGAAAACATGCTATTGAAGCGTATACATACAGTCAACCCGGAAGCTGGGCACTCCCGCAGGCCACACATCGCTCTCCACTCGAGCTGTGTGGTTCCCAGGCTGAGTTCTCTGAGTCAGGATGCGGAGCTCCTGAGCAGGACACAGAGAAAGCGGAGAAGCGGCAGCAGAAAATGTCTTCCTGGCTGACTGGGACAGAGTGGGAAAGCGAGAAGGGAAGTATCTCTAGGCCATTTTTGTTCTTCTGGTAAAATGTCTGAATCCAGCTAATAGTCAGGGCATTGTCTGTGGCCACGTTTTAGAGCACTCCAGAGAGCCTGACCTTCTTCAACAGGTTTCTAAGGCCCAGATGGCCTGGCTCTGCCTCTCCCGCAGAAATCCTCAACCCTTCCACAGGGAGCTGCCTCCTTTCCTCAGTTAGACCAAAGAGGTGCCTGATGGGCCCTGCTTCTTCAGATTCAAACAGCATCTCTGGGATCTGGCCCTGCTCTCCCTCCTTTGCAAATTGCCAATGGTGGTCCTAGCCTTGAGGCTGCCGGAAATCTTCCCAGGGGCATGGAAACTGAGCTCATGAGAACGGCTTGCACTGGCACCGCCCGTTAGACCAAGAGCTGGCAAACGTTTTCAGCTTTGTGGGCCACACAGGTCCTGGTCAACTCTGTAGAGGCAAAACTTCAAAAAATGGGTGTGGCTGCATTTGGAGAGTTGGAGAGTTTTGGCCCAGGATGAGTTTGCCCACTTTCCTGTCCTCCCATCATATTTGACCTGCCAACAAGGCCAGGAGGTAGGCAGGAAAGGTACTTTAGAGACTCTCAGGAGAGAGGGAGCTGCCGGTCAATTCGACTCAAATGTGCCGGTGATCCACCTGCAGGGACTGTAGACAGCAGCCCCCAGGCCTCCAGCTCTGCCTCTGCAAAATGTTTCCAGGGACTTGGCCTCTTTCACACATCAAGTTTATCCTCAATGTGCCATTTTCACAAAAGTTTCCTGGTGAATCAGAAAGGACTTTACTAGTATTAATAGTAAGGTGGGGTCATCGTCTTATTAAAGACAACTGTCTCCTCCACATCAGTGATTTGGGTGCTGAGTGCTTGGTTACAGCAAGAATTAGGGTGATTAAGGGTGATTTTGGCCAAGAATCCCAACAGCATAAAGGACTGGGTAGGAGACCCTAGATCTGGTGACTACCTAAGACCCGGCCCCCCACCCGCTGCCATCCCAGGCCTGTCTTCCTTTGGGTGATAATTATCTAAATCACCCAAATGTGGGTAGTTAAACGCATCCTTCAATCCCTTATGCAAATAGAGGCTCAGCTACCAGTGGTCAACTTTATCCAAAGTCTCATAGCTAGACGAGGCTCCTTCTAGTTTTAACAGTCTAGGTTTGTATGAAACACACTTCCCTCAGTGGCTGTGCTCTCTAAAAGCAAGGGACAAGTCTGCCTTGGTGGGGTGAGAGAGGCTTGACTTAATATAAGGCTTTCAAAGAGTCATTCATAAAGAATTAACATTTTTGAGGTACAAAATAAACTGAGAAGTAATCAGGCAAAAGACTCAAAGGTGGCTTTTTGTAAGGGAGGAGTGGAGAGAAATTGAGGCATGAATTCGTTGTTTACCAAAAGGTATAGGTCAAACTTACAACCTTGTCCCCAGCGCTTTTCCAGGTATTTGCTTAGGAAGCACTGCCATCTTGTGGCCTACTGTAGTTACTGCAGACAGAAAGAAAATCTACCAAAGCCCCCCACTGCAATACCAATGAGCAATGAGTGGAAAAATGCAGGTTAATAGTGCAAACATTACTCACCATTTGGAACTAGTTTGGGGTAAAAAGGTTGGAAACCCAGACAATTGTGTGGTTGCTTCCCATTTTCCTGTCTACAACCGAGGTGAAGTTTCTTTCCAGCAACATAAATTGTAGGTAATAAAATGACTCAGAGAGGGTCTTGTTGCCGGCAAGCGAGAGCAGAAGGGTCTTGGAGGTTACTCACCAAGTGGATGAATCCGGCTGCAGTCAGCCATGTGCTGATAAATATGGAGAGCAGATTCACCAGCTTGATGGAATTACTGTGCAAGAGACAACAAGCAAAATTCCAGGTTACCAAGGGAAGGCCCTGCTGGGGCTGTCTTACAGGGTAACAGCACCCGCTTGGGGGAAGAGGCCGCTGTATCTAACTCCCAACCATTTCTCCATGATAAGAGAATTCTGGACGGTGGCGGAAGCAGCTGGGATGAAGGTCAGGACAGAGCCTATAGGAATGAATTTAACTCTGGTAAAAATTAACTTTTAGTTTAAAAACTCTTCAAAGCTACAGAAAAGTGGAAAGAACAGTATAATGAACACCTACCTGCATGCTCTTCAGTTAGACTGACCAATTATTAACATTTCACCACAGGTGTTTTATCACCCTACACACTTTTCCTCTATCCCCCTTTTACCTTCTCTTCTTCGTGTGTGTGTGTGTGTCTGTGCGTGTGTGTATTTTTTTTTTCTGGCTAAACCATTTACCAATGAATCAGAGACATCATGACACAAGCCCTAAATATTCAGCACTCAACTCCTAAGAAGAAAGGCATTGCACAGCATAATCGCAATACCATTTCACACCTGAGAAAATTAAAATGTAAAAATTCAGTAATGCTATTTAGTATGCAGACCTTATTTAAATGTCTCCACTTGCCCCAGAATTATGTTTATTGATTTTTTTCCGCCAGATGCAGGTTTCATGCATTGCATTTGGCTGTTAGGTGGCTTAAATCCGAAGAAACAAGGACATAGAGTCAATATTTGGGGCTTTACCAGCCATATAGACGTTGTCACAAATACTCAACTCTGCCACTGTGGCTTCAGAGCAGCTTTTGGACAACAGGTACAAGAATTGATATGACTTTGTTCCAATAAAACTTTATTTACAGAAACAGGCAGCAGGCATGGGCTACAGTTTGCCAATCCCAGCTTCAGTCCCTTTCAATGTATAAACGACACCACTCCTTTGCCCGTTTTTGTTAATTACATTAAATTTTATGTAAACCCAGGTTGTCTTCTAAAATGTCCCATATTCTGGATCCTATTTATTTTATTTTATTTTTGAGATGGAGTCTTGCTCTGTCACCCAGGCTGAGTGCAGTAGCAGGGTGGCTCACTGCAACCTCCATCTCCCGGGTTCAAGCCATCCTCCTGCCTCACCCTCCCTAGTAGCTGGGATTACAGGTGCACGCCATCGTGCCTGGCTAATGTTTGTATTTTTAGTAGAGACAAGGTTTTACCATGTTGGTCAGGCTGATCTCAAAATCCTGACCTCAGGTGATCTGCCTGCCTCAGCCTCTCAAAGTGCTGAGATTATAGACATCATCCTCCGTGCCCAGCCCTGTTTATTTTTTAAATAAATGTTATTGTGTATCTTTGAGATTTACAACATGATGTTATCTACCATCTTACATAGTTACGTTTTTGTGTGTGACAAGAGCAGGTAAAATCTACATATTTAACAAAAATTCCAAATACCACACAATTTTATTAGCAATAGTCCTCATGTTGTATATCAGACCTTTAGACCTGATAATCCTACATAGCTCCCTACTTAGGTATTTCTGTTAAGAATCTCTGCAGAGATGGCATCACATCCAGATATGCCAGCCCACTGATGCTAGGTCCATTCATGTGGCTTAGGCAGAAACGCTAATCTCTCCACTGAGAGGTGCCTATTTCCGTTTGTAACAAATATGCCACCTTGAGTGATGCCCTGAGATTGCAGGCATATCCTGCTCCTCAACAACCTTATACCTAATAGTTTTAGCATCCACTGGTGTCCTTGAGTGGATCAACTGGGACTCATGACATTGTGAGCTCCCTGAAAGCTGGGGACTTGTCTGTCTGGATTCCAGGAGCCCTGGGTCCCTGGCACATAGCAGGCCCTGGTGACTCTGCACTGAGTACACTGGTCTCTGCCCCTGCTCTCTTCCTAAACTGCAACCTGTTCACTCTCACTGGGATATATCTTGAATGCTGCTGTCAGCAGGTCACTTCACTGTCCAAAGACTTCATGTTGACAAAAGATGACACCCAAACTCTCTGCTTCCGTTGTCAATACCTTGTGAAGTCCCAGGTCTCCCACCATCGCTCTGTCACATAAACTCGTGAAAGTGCCATCCCAGCTAAACCTATTTACTACAGCTGTGTTTACATTATTTACTCAACTTGAAAGCCCTTCCTATCTAGCCAAATATTCCCCATTCTTCAAAGCCCAGTTCCATCCCTACTGCTTCTTTAAACTCGTTCCACCCACCTGTAAGACAAAGTGACTTGCCCTGGCTCTCACCTCCAGCCATTCATTGGTAATGATCCTACTGACTTAAGATGTCTTTTGTAAAGTTTTAGGTGGCTATTTGACTCTTGGGTTCCTTGCTGTGTCTTGCAGAAAAGAACTGTTTTCTGTCTCTTGCATTTTCCCAGTAGTGGCTTAATGCAGCCCACAGCGTTGCCCAACCCATTGGTTTCGGTCAATTCGTCTCTGTTATGACTGTCCTCTCTTACCTCTCTCTTCTGGAGAGCCAATGATTTAAATTCTAGGAGTTTAAGATCACAGTAATAGTATCAGCTAGGATGTTTACAGTTCTCTCCCAGTGTTCAGCACATGTGCCAACATCCTAAGTGCTTTATGTATCCTAACTCATTTCATGCTCATAACGACAATCTTTCTTCTATGGAACAGCACAGAGGAATCCATGGTCTTAGTTTTTCCGGAGTTGATGCTGACAGTTCATGGAAAGAATAAACAGATATTCTCCATTTTCTGGGTGAGACTGATCTTTTGAGATGTGTGGAATAACTTTCTTCTGGTTCAAAAACTTGGAAAAACAACCAGAATGTCCATTCTGTCTCTCTTGGTAATATCTAGAGTTGCCAAGTGATAATAATTGCCAGTATTTATTGAGCCCTTATTATACGTTAGATGTTGTGTTGAGCAGAATTCTCTCCTGCCTCTGTCTTGTAAGTCCTCTAAGGTGTGCTCCAGCACTTGAGGGTAAGAAATAGATGAAGAACAGGTAGCCAGCAGCAAAGGGAGGGCTCTTGGGGGAGGTGTGTGTTGTTCATTTTCTCAGGAGATTGTTAAATACCAAGTGGCTTCACTTACGTACTCCTGGATCCTCGGGACCTGAACACGGCGGTGCCCCACCAGCAACTATGTGGAGTCCCCTTGAGATATTAAACTTATTTGGAGGCTGAGCCTCTTGGCGCTTTGGGAAAACGACCTAAATATGATGATGATTAAATTCTAAATGATGATTACAGTGATATTAATAGTGCTTTAGGGAGCTCTTGCTATATGCAGAACATTTCATCACTGTTGCTAAAACAGTACATGTTTCGCTCTGAAATCGGATTATTTTTATGACATCAGCATTATCACAGATCCCTAGGTTTAGGAATTTGCTTTCTAAATGAAACTCTATGACCAGGCATATGAAAGTGGCAAGCAAAAGGTGCAAGGTTAAGCGTTGGTGGACATTCTCCATACTCTGAAATGTGAACCTTGCCTGGTTGAGCAGGGCTCCTTTGGAAGAGAGGGTGGGGGTTTCCAGGAGCAGGGCTGTGTGCTCAGCAGAGCAAAGGTTGTGTATCTTTGCATGGAGATAATCACAGCCTTCCTAACCAAGCCCAGGGGTCGGGGCCAGACATGAAGCTACCAGTGGTTACAATGATTCACACCGTTCAGATTCCAGCCCTCTTCCTAGGCCTTCAGGGAGATTATGATCTTATCGTGAAAACTTGACCCATATAAAGTAAATCATTCTTATGTTTCTAGTACAATTCCTGAGTCCCCATCCCATGAGTTCTAATTCACATCGATGGACACAGTGAATCATTATAGGACAGGCACAGGATTCTTGTAGATTAGAGACTTCTTCTAAGAAACTGTGGATGCTGCAAGAAAAGGTCTGGCTCCAGAGATTACAACTGTAAGCCTAGAGCTTCTGGGCCCTTCTTTGTCCTCTCTCTGTTTAACAAGACATGTTTCAGTTAACACAGAAAATGCCGTGGACTTGGTACACAGAAATGCAAATCTGTCCCTGTTCTGCTTGTCCCTAATTTTCCTCTTGTTTCGGGTACTACCAGGTGTTGCTGGCCTTGTTTTGTTTTACTGCTCTCTTTGCCAGACAGATGTAAAATACCCGCCCACTAAAAAGTTAACTGGACTGCACCACACTAACATAAATGGTCTGAACTATGACATGAGTAAAGCAAAGTGAAATTCTGCCAGTTCTATCCATTAACTATCTCTCGATCCCTTCTCCTCTCTCTGCCCCAGTTTGCACCACCTACAGCCATGCCCTATTACCTCTTCCCTGGACTACTGCCTCCTAATTGGTCTTACGGTCTATGAGTTCTTTGATGCTTCAATCTCATTCTCTATACCACCGTTGGAATTGTGGATCTTTCTAAAATGTTAATCTAACCACATTTCCTCTCATGATTAAAATCCTTCAACAGCCCTCTCCTTTGTTCTCAGTAAAGCCCATGAATCTAAGAACCTGCATGATTTGTCCTCTCCGTGAACATCCCTTGCAATCTCCATGGAGAATATCCTTCCTTACAAACTTTATCTTGGAGCCATTTCTAAGGTCATGTAAGCAGTAAGTTTTAGTTTCAAAAATGCCTCCCAAAAATGTATTGGTTAGGTATATGATGACTCATGCATATGATGGAACGCTATGTGAAAAGCCAAAGGTGGCGTAGTCGATGTCATTGTTGTCTTAAAGCAGTGTGGTGTGGAGGCAATTTTATTCATCCTTTATGATTCTGTATGTTGTTGCAATGCTTACAATGAACAGATTTTAAAATTAGAGGAAACAGGCCAGGCACGGTGGCTCACACCTGTAATCCCAGCACTTTGGGAGGCCAAGGCAGGCAGATCACCTGAGGTCAGGAGTTTGAAACCAGCCTGGCCAACATGGTGAAACCCCGTCTCTGCTAAAAATATAAAAATTAGCCAGGCATGGTGGCCGGTGCCTGTAATCCCAGCTACTTGGGAGGCTGAGGCAGGGAGAATAACTTGAACATGAGAGATGGAGGTTGCAGTGAACTGAGATCGTGCCACTGCATCCAGCCTGAGCAACAAAGTGAGACTCAGAGAGAGAGAGAGAGGAGGTGGAAGAAGGAGGAGGAGAAAGAGAAGGAGAAGAAGAGTAGGGGGGAGAAGGAGGGGGGACGAGGGACGGAGGGAGGGAGGGAAGGAAGGAAGGAAGGAAGGAAGGAAGGAAGGAAGGAAGGAAGGAAGGAAGGAGGGAAAAAAGCAAAAGAGAAAACAGGAAGGCAATTCCCATTTTGAAAAAATTTGCTGAGTGATCCATGTTTTACTCATCAGTATCTACCACGGTCAATGAGACAGGGAATTACAGCCTTTAAACACAGCTGCTGACTTTCCTCTGATAGTAGAGTAAGTGTTCTATCACCTGTGTGTTAGATCCCCAGTTTGCAGGGCAATTGAGGAACTGCCAAAACCTCAGATGGTGAGAGGGAGTCTCCTTGCCTCCCCTTTAATTGGCCTGTTTCAGGCTATGGAGTATTCCAGGCCCCCTATGGGCTTGCAGTTTGGGAAAGGGCCCTGATGCTGGTCATATACTGTGATTGGCCCATTTCATCCCGTGCACTTTAATTTTCCTCTGTTGCCTTCTCAATTCTGTATCAATCTTTCTGCCACCTTATGCTTCTCTGCCCTGTTTCTTCCAGGTCTTGGCCCAGTGAGGCAGCCAAAATACTGAAAATGAAATACCAACTCCAAATCACGATTTCGAATTGCATCACAAAGCCTCCATCCCTACCTAATGCCATGGATTGGCAGGGATTCACTGCCAAAGACAGCGAGACAAAACCTCCCTAAAGATGACGACATGGGTTCCCCAACCCACCCTCCTGGAAAGACTGCTATGAAATCAGCAGAGTAAAGAAGAGTCACAGGAGAATCACTAAAAGTCCAAAGCCCTACAAAGCCAAGGCTGCACTTTCTCTGGGAAAAGGAGAGCTTTGGGATCCACACTTGAGGATACCCAAAAAGGAGCCAAGATTAGCTGGGCTGGCACCTGGAGAGAGAATGGGCTCAGAGAGTCATCCTAGAGCTTCTAGAGTTCTTACAATTACATGAGGTTTGCTTCTGTCCCTGGTGACCTGGCCTTTCCTACCCTCTTAACCTCATCCTCCTCTTTCCACCACAGAACCCTTCATGTCCAGGAGTACAGAATTACTCAGTTTCCCCAAGTGCCATGCTCTCACACCAGTGTGATGTTTGCAGCTTCCTTGATTAGAAGACAACCCCGCTCCTCCCAACCCTCACATGCCCAGCTCCCCAAGGATGACACTTAGTTTTCTACCAGGCTTACCCAAAGCACCCCCTTCTCCTTGAAAAGACCCTTGACTGCCCCACAACTCATGCCAAGCCCAGCTTAGTTGCTCCCCTCCCCTCTCAACCCCTGGGCATACTGGCATCAGCATTAATCACACCGTCAGACGGCCTGGCCCCCACCTAGCAAGGTCTCTGCCAGCAGGACTCCATCCTAGCACCCACCTTCTGCTGACACCAATGGGTGCTCATTCCAGGCTTGCTTAATTACCTCGACCACCTGGTTATGACCATAAGTGATGATAACTATGAAAACGCATGTTGAGGGGTTGTGGCAAAAAGTACCCTCTGATAAGAGTTTCACATAGTGGGAAGTGGGGTGCTGGAGAAATGCTGTTTTGGGGCCCAGATGGCAGATGTCCAGCAAGCATTCCACCCTGTGACTCTTCCCTAGGGCCATTTTCTCCCTCGTACCCTGGCTGGCTGCTTCAGCTTCCCCGGCTCTGCACTGAGAGGAGGAAGCACCCATAACTATGCAGTTGGTGGGTAAGCTGACCACCAGGGAGTCCACAGCCACTTCCCATATCCAAAGGAAAGAGAGGTGAGTGTCCTAGCAGCGGGTCAGAAAAAGATATTCAGATGGTCCATCATACTCTCAAGTCCTAGAAGGGTCCAGGGATTAGACAGTATTCCCCAGAGCAATAAAACCTTCTCAAAATGCTGGCATCGAAGATTAAAAATCCCCCTAACATATGATGTAATTGTGAGACAGGGAGAGACAGTAGTAATACCTGTTGTTATAGAGTATCACAAAACACGATCCCTACCAGAAAAATGAGTGTTTCTTAAGGACAAAGCTCTATGCTTGGTGCTGGGTACTCATACATTCCACTTATAAAAACGCAGTCTAGTGGAGCAAATCTGATGTAGGTCAATATTGGAGAGATGCTAGCTTCATTGATCATGTACATTTCAAAAGTAATATGTTTCTAGTACATAGAATAATCATTAAAAGGCAGAAGTCAAGGTTACTGTCACTCAGAAAAATATGAAGAAAAACAATATTCACTGTATATGAATAATATTACATTATTGCTAATAAATAGAGAACTCATGAATTCTTATATCAGGATAATGAACAGTAAAAGGTGGGAGGACACACTTTTAAAGACTTTGGTGCCATCGGATTATCTTTTTCAACTTGGCTAATAGAAAGTGAATTTGATCTCACAGTCACACCAATGAACAGTCAGAGGAAACCGATTTGAAATTAAACCAAAATGAAATAAACAAGCAAAAAAACACAAATGACCAAGAAATAAAGCCAGTGATAGGCTGAATTTGTTGGCTGTGTCAGGTTCATTCAGGAAGCTGGGTCCCAGCCTGTGTCACCAGGAAAATGATGCCGAATCTAATCCTCAGAACTGCAGCTATATTCATTACAAATCACAAAATATGGAGGTGTCCTGTTTTTAATCATTCATCAAATGCGTGAAGGGCAACCAAAGAGGAAATGGAACATTAGAAGTGGGCTTCTTAGAGTGTAATTTCCTAGAAGAGAAATTTATAGCCTGTACTTATTCTCCATTAGAGCACGTCTAACCTCTTTTATTAGTTTATTCATCAAGACAGCCCTGGTTTCAGGGCAGCTCTGCAAGCCAGCAGGTCATCAGGAAAGGGATCCTCTGGGGGCTTTTCCTCCTGGTCCAGTTGTGTTTTCCAGATCATAATGCAGTTAACAGAAGTATTCATGGTGCATTCATCAGGAGGTTTGTAAGTTTCCCCCCAAAAGGCAATTCACAGAGCAAGCCCCCAGGGCTATATGGATATAAAGTGAACATCTAAAATGTGCTTTAAATGAAATGATTTTCTGTTTGCCGTATGAGGTTTGTGATTGCCTCTCACAGCATTGCTTCTATTTCCTTTATGACTGGGTTCAATTTCTTATTTAGTGATGTAATAAAGGGGCGATTTAGAATCTGGCAGCAAGGACTTCCCAATCAATGAGCAAATCTAGCCCGCATTCACTGTGCACCTCTCCCTTAGACACCATGGCTTATATCTGGGCAACCCCATTAGGCACCCAGATATCAGCCATGCATCCCTAAAATTGTCCCTACTCCCCTGCCTGCACGGCTGTTTCTCTCTTTCACCACATAGTTCCCTGGCCCTGCAGAAGACAGCAACCCAAACCCTACTCTGGGTTTTCTCTCCCTCTCTGTGTTAGCTCACTCTTTCTGTAAATCATATAACATTAATAATGTCATTGTGATGAAAGCAAGCACACTTGAGATTTGCAACTTGGCATAGGGGACTGGAATGAAAAAAATACGACAAAGAACATCTTACCTTGTTTTAAGAATATTCAGAAACTGCAAAATTTCTGAAAACTGTATCAGTCTCAGAGCTCTTAAAAATCTCAAACCTGGAAAGAAGAGTGAAAGAGAGATGCATTATTTTCAATGTGTGGTTTTAGTGTTCACAGTCTGCCATCTGATTGACAGTTCCCAAGGGTCAAAGGGATGGGAAGTTCTCGCAGAAGATAAACCACTGGTACCTCGAACATAGTCCCTCATTCTGATTCTTGACTGGTTTAATCTTGGCTGGTAAATGGACTTTCTCCTTATAAAGGTAGCCTGTTTGGAACCTCTTTAGGGGAAGGGCTCAGTGGGAGGAGCCAGGTTAATGAGACGTTTCATTTGGTGATCTCTGATTGAAAGCACGGTTTTCTAAGTTACCTAGCTGTCTGGCAGGATTTTGTCTCTGAAAAATCCTAGGAATTGTGGTAACTCAGGGTAACCCTTGCGCTAAGAGCAGATTGAGACTAAATCGGATAACCTTATGTCTTTGATGGATTTTAGTTTTTATCTTTATCTTCAGCCCTGATAAAATGAAGAGTACAGCCCACAGTGTTATCTGTTTTCTACAAACTTCTACATTTTCCACCCAATAATAAAAAAAAAAAAAAAGATCGGTAAAGATATCACACCCCACAACTTCAGGATTCAAAATTTATGTAGTTCCCCTTTTATTAAGAGTTAAGATAAATGGTTTGTCCTTTCGAAATCAATGACCTCTCTTGAATGGAAAAGAAACATCAATGCTTAGGTGGCAGAAGAGAGATGAAGAAGGAAAACACATCAAGAACCCTTTAAAAATGCAAATTATTATGTTTTAGTAAAGAGTAAATTATATTTCTGTTGAGGTGAAATTCACGAGTCAGAACATTCACAGTCAGTCCTGGGCTATAACACCTTGGCTATCGTGCAAGGATATGACTTACAAAATGCTGGTTTGTCACAGCTTTGAGACACATTGAATGTCACGCCCACTCCCAAGGGGATTTTCTTTTGCAGATTTTCTAGAAGCATTTTATTAAGGACCACCGTGTGCCAAAGGCAGTGTGAAGCTCTCCAGAGCACTGAGTTGACAGACAGCTCCATGCCCGTGGGTGGGGCTTTGTTCTCCCACACCTGTGAAGCAGTAAAAAGGCAGCCTAGGGCACAGCGGTGGGAAGGAATCCTTACTACCTTCTCCTTGAACTAACTGCACCCAACATGGAGCTGAGCTGTTTAGGTAATAAGGGAAAATTAACTTAAAGCTCGTGGTGTAGGGGGAAAATCTGACTCTACAAAGAAAGAGAAAAGGATTGGCTCAAAAAATAATTTCTCATCTGAAAAAAATTTACCATCACAAACAGAAGACATTTTTATGAAAACATTCTCCTTCTATGCTAAATAATATTTATATAACATTTTATTAAATAATTGCAGAGATGAGATGGGATGTTGATGAAACAGAAGGGCTCACGGCCAAAAGCACAGTCGTAATCGAGCTGATGAAAGCCTGACTTAGCACTGCCGAAAACCAACCGTGGTGTGGAGTACAAAACTAAGAAATCATCCCAGAAAGCAGAGAAAATAAGGGAAAGGGAGGGAAAAAAAGATGAAACTTCAGAAAGTAGACACAGAGTAGAGATCACAGAGATCCAGCCCGTGAATAAAATGTGTTCCAAAGGGAAGTCCGAACAGCACATTGATCATAAGCAAAGGCCAGGACATCACAGAAAAGAACTTTTGAGATACGAAGAAAATGACTGGAGACTAAAACGTAAAAAGAAGGATCAGCTCTCAGAGACCAGAGCCAAGAAGCATCTGGCTTTTCACGTTCACGTTTCAAGTATTGAAATCAAGCAATAAAAACGAAGCATCAATGCTGATGGGGTTATTTACCATTAAAGTAACAAAGATCATTATATATAAGTGTTAAATGGTGATTAGGAAATTCTGATGATTTTTAGACAAACGGAATCTGACCCAAGATTTTTATACCCAGTGAAGTGGTTGTTCAAGAATAAAAGTGACAACAAAATTTTAAATTCTAAGGTCTCAAAACAATATATTGTTTGCTCAGTATGTACATAAAGCTTTAAAGGGGTTCATAAGACTTGCTAAATCAGAATGGGAGGGGCAAGCGCCGGAAATTAAATCTATAACAGACTCTACTGCTGGTTCTAACCTTCCAGCCCAGTCTAGACTGTTATCTCTTACCAGCATCACTGCTGCATATTACTGAGCTAAAACAAATTTAGAAACTTGGGAGTAGAAGGCCACTGGCAATTAGCACTGAAACCATCAAAGATACAACACTCTCCCATGTCCCTCCAGGGATACGCTCCAAGACTTCCTAGTGAATGTCTGAAACCTCAGATAGTACGAAATCCTGTATGTATTACATACACACACCTACGGTAAAGTTTAACTTATAAATTAGGCACAGGCAGGGATTAACAATGAGAATAAGGGCCAGGCACAGTGGCTAATATCTGTAATCCCAGTACTTTGGGATGCTGAGGCAGGCAGATCATGAGATCAAGAGTTTGAGACCAGCCTGGCCAACACGGTAAAACCCCATCTCTACTAAAAACACAAAAATTAGCCAGGTGCTGTGGCACACGTCTGTAATCCCAGCTACTCAGGAGGCTGAGGCAGGAGAATTGCTTGAACCCAAGGAGATGAAGGTTGCAGGGAGCTAAGATCGTGCCACTGTGTGCCAGCCTGGGTGACAGAACAAGACTCTGTCTCAGAGAAAACAAATAAATAAGCAATGGCAATAATAAAGTAGAACAATTATGACTGTATGCACCAGCATCACTATTCTTGCACTTTGAGGTCATTAAGTAAAATAAGGGTTACTTGAACACAGGCACTGTGGCAGCAAGACATGGGTGTGCCCACTGAGCGGCCCTGAAAGACTAATGGGTCGGGAGTGCAGATGGCGCGGATGTGCCGGACAAAGGGAGGATTCTTGTCTCAGATAGGGCCAAGCAGGACAGCATGCAACTTAAAACTTATGAATTGTTCATTTCTAAAATTTTCTATTTAATATTTTCAGACTACGGTTGACAGGGGGTAACTGAAACCTTAGGAAGCAAAACCGTAAATAAGAGGCAGTCCTGTAGAAATACACACACTAAAAATGTATTAGCTGCGTAGGGTTTAATCATGAAAATACTGTGTATGCATAGATATACTTGTATTTATGGAACTAAAAATAGAATACAAACAACCTAAACTTCAAACTAGATTCCTTCTTTTAATCTTTAAATGATGCCGTTTGTATCGTATATCAGTTGCTAATCTACAGCTTGCCACATTTGAATGAGCCACAAAAACATAATAGAATAAAAGCTTTCCTTTTAATTAAGGTGTGTGAAAGTAAGGGGAGGAAAGAAATGAATGCAGAGGCCACAGGGTCCTGTCTTCTTGCTAGAGACGAACTGCAGATCTAGCTCTGAGCGCCTTCTTAACAAAAGCAAGCAAGGAGACAGGATAAGATTAATAGTGTATACATAAGAGAGAAAAACAAACTGGCTTGCAGGAGAATCATTTATTTTTCTCAACATGGAGACCAGAGGGAAATGTCTCCCTGCAAAAGGGACCCAGGGTGTTGCAGAAGCAAGACCTCTTGGACTGAACAAAGGTGCCTTTGCCTATTTGACTGGCACCGAGTTTCATTAATGCAAATGAGTCACTGAAGTTCTCCATAGGTTAAAAAAGTCAGTCTACATTTTATCCTCGGATCAAGCCAGACTATCTGGAGAAATGGTTGATCTAAAGATGTGTCTTTCAGGAACCATTCACAATACTTCTGTATTAGTCCATCCTCACTCTGCTAATAAAGACATACCTAAGACTGGACAATTTAGAAAGGAAAGAGGTTTAATTGACTCACAGTTCTTAGGGGTGGGAGAAGCCTCAGGAAACTTACAGTCATGGCAGAAGGGGAAGCCAACACATCCTTCTTCACATGGTGGTGAGAAGGAGAAGTGCCAAGCAAAGAGGGAAAAGCCCCTAATAAAACCATCAGATCTCATGAGCACTCACTATCACGAGAACAGCAGCATGGGGGTAACTGCCCCTGTGATTCAATTACCTTCCACCAGGTCCCTCCCACAACATGTGGTTATTATGGGAACTACAATTCAAGATGAGATATGGGTGGGGACACAGCCAAACCATATCAGCTTCCTGACTGCTTTCTGCCCTGGACCCCTTGTGGTCTCCGCTCAGAAGCTTTCAATGCCCTCATTTTACACAGAGTGAAAGTCAAAGTCCTTCAAAGGCCTAAAGCGATACCACCCACCACCAGCACTAATCCCTTTTGGATCTGATGGCTTCCCACTGCCACTCCTACTGTGAATGATTCCTGAAAGACACGCTGATCTGGCAGATGTCCTCAGTGACCCTTCAACACACAGGCATGCTACCGCCCCAGGGCCTCTGCACGTGCGACCTCTCTGCCTGGAATGCTGTTCCCCAGATGCACACATGGCACACTTTCTCACCTGCTTTAGGTTCTCACTCAGTGTCCCGTGATCAGTGTGACCTTCCCTGGCTACCCAACTTAAACACGCAACTCCTCCCACACCACCCCTGAATCGCCCTACCCTCTTTCCTGCCTCAGCACGATGCACCAGCACCTCGGTTATGTGGTTACTTTCTGTCTCCCTCTCTGTAGCATCAGCTCTACAAGGGGAGGGGCTGATGTCTGCTTTGTTCAGGGCTGTATTTTCCAACACTGAACATAGTGTCTGGCATAAGGTGAAGGCTCAATAAATCCTTGTTTGAATAAATGAATGAATCAAAGTTTTGAGAAAGAATTAGGTGGCGGAGTTAAAGGTTAGATAACCCACATTCAGAATTCTGAGACCCTATGTCGCCTACTAAAGGGAAAAGCCACAGCTCTGCGGGGTCCCCTGACAGAGGTCAGGACTGCACTCTTAGGAAGTAGAAAACAGCCTAATCGGGGAAAAGCCTTAACCAATGGCCACTCCTACTATAACCAGAAAGAGCCCAGAGGACTACAGACAACGATGTCAGGCTAAGAGAGGGGGCCAAAAAAAGAGAGTGGAGGAGACACCTC